TTTAAATGCCTGTATTCCTTTTATCATATATTCATATATACATACATATCATATATTCATATATTCATATATACATATATGAATATATACATAGATAGATAGAGCTGATAAGAAGGCTGAATGAGAAGGCTGAGGGTATTTCCAGAGTATAAACTCTTGGTTGCCAGTGATAATCTCATATGGCTGAAATCAATCACAATCGCCGCAAGTACTTCCTGACAAAGATGATTGATCATTTACTGGTTAATTCATGGATACAAACGCATACCTAATATCACAATATTCCTGCTGTATCAGATTCTCTAAGCAGCAAGAGCCCGAACTTTACTCGCAAGAGGAACAAGAATATCAAGAACGCCATGAAGAGGATCAGCGTCAATTTCGATAAGTAAGTCTTTCTTTTCAAGTAGTCAGATGGAGCGAGAGACATAGAGTTTATATTATTATTTGTTAGCACTGCACTTGTGCGTAAACGTGTTTAAAGGCTGTTGATATACCTGATGCCAATAAATTGTTCGTGTAGTCCAAATTGAAATTAAGTTTTCCGACAACGGCCAAAAGCTGTACACCTGCTTCAACATTGCTGTTCCCAACGCATTTACCAACGCACATCTCAGCAAGAACTGATAGTAAGCTACTGATAGTGTGGTGTTCAGTGTTAGTTTGCTCTGGAACATCTGATACGTCGAGATATCAGAACTTATAATCACATATAAATGATCGCACATATCCAAACAGAAACCGAAAAGATTCTGCTAGTAGCGTGGTGATCGATTCTAGCTCGCTCGAAGACTTTGTCCCGGCAGGCGATTTGCAGCATACAACGTCTAACACCGGCAGCGTGTCGTCAACTGTTAATAAGGAGTCTAGGGTAAATCCTAGGTAAGCATGCGTACATCTGATCAGGGGGTAGAAAATGTTTGCATGAAAGCCGTGCAGTATGTAATGGTTTGGGTAAATGTGGTTGCTGCGTGTGGCTAGCCGATGCTAATAATGCGATGCATATATAATGTGTTTAGGCCGTTGGTGATTTGTCCGAACTTGAGGCCCAGCTGTGTGTATACGAAAAGCTGTTGGTGAGCTGTTTCTTTGTATTAAAAGCGTGAGGACAATTGAAGACCATCCTGATAAAGAAACGGCATCTGCATAAACAATAAAATGCCAGGTTTGTTATCCCTGGCTAGGGATGTCTCTGAGAGAGTGTTTCGATGCAGCTGTGCGTTCTCCTCCAATTGTCTGTGACAGCACTTGTATATCAAGGCCATTCTTATGTGCTACTGTATATACAGTGATAGATATTTTGACGTTGATATGTGCACATATATCTACGCCATTTATCATTCAAGTGCATCTATTATGAGTGCCGAACATGTTAAACTGACAATGCCCCGACACACTCTGACGCCAACTACCAGCATCGCCCCTTCAAATCTGGTGGAGAGCATTGATAGCAAGAGGAAATGCGCGAGACGAGGGTCAAACGCAGGAGCCAGGTAAGTATGCGAGACTCTCTAGATCGATGGTATCGGTAGTCTGTGTTCATATATTGTGGGGGGAAAGAGTGAAAGGGTATACCAGATATGTATAGTATCACTTAGGACTACTCATGAGTAAGCGCCTCTTTTTTTGCCCATGACCAAATACAGTTAAGACCAGAAGTATATATCTCCCAGTTGCCATCTGCGACTACTAAATGTACCCATACATACCGAAGTAGCAGAATCTGGCGTTAATCTCAGTTGTTCAAAAACGCATGCAATTGAGTTCTGTGGACGGTCGGTGAGTAGATACACAGGCTTCGCAGATAATCGTGAGTCTCAAGTTTCAAGCGGTTCAGGCTTTCAGGGTCCAGCGCAGTCTTTTAGTGTCACGCTCACTACTGCCTAAATATCCATAATCTCCCCCCAACTTCTTCCCGACAACATACAACCCTGAAACCCTAAAATCCCAAACCCTTGTACCCTATAACTTTATCTCCTACCCCCTCAATAAAACCACAGACTCTCTCATACACCCACGCGCGCTGTCAACTTGATCGCCCCGTCTACCGCGGCGTCGCTTGCGATGACTATGACCGACACTAAACAGAACGAAGATATGCCCGAGTTCACACCCATTTGGGCAGTCGCGGATGGGTACAAGGTTCGAGCCACAATCCTTGAGGCTAAGGTATATTCGCTCGGCCGATAACTTACACTCTGTTTATGGTTGTGAATGTGTGGTGATAAATGCAAAGTTCTGCACCGAGTTTATACACGCATGTAGAAGCTAGTGCATCCCCTGTGGTGTGGGTACACAGGCTTTGCTTTTCGAATGCACACCTTTGATTCACTCGTGACTAACACTCTGTCTCCGTCGCGACTACAGGATCTACCTGCCTGGCCTTCCGGACACAAGCCGCGCGTGTCAGTGTCCGTATCAAGTAATTTGGATGGCAAGAACTATGAGAAGAAAATCAAGACCAAACACGTCGGCGAAAGCTCCAGTCACGGCAGCGGTAGCAGCACAGTGCCCAAATGGAACGAAACCGTTGAGTTTGATCATGTCCGAGATATCAATGACAATATGACATTCAAGGTGTACGTCACAACATGTAAGTTGCCACTACCGAGTATTGTTGTATTCTGAGCCATCTATATCACACCCGTGTAGCTCAAGACTTTGGCCACACGTCTGAATGCACAAGATGCCCGTGACATGCTCAGTGACCACATGCTAGCGAAAGCCTAGAAAGAATTCTACTGCTATTTTGGGTTTATTTTTGACGGTGACTACGTGTTTCAGAGGGTCTTACCAGTTAATCACTACCCCCACTGGTGATCGAAACACCGTTAAAAATCCACAAAATGCCACACCCAGCCGCCGCGGGAGTTGTGGTGGACCATAAAATCGGACAGATCAGTTTCCCGGTCAGATTCGTGCCCAAGGTAGATGCAGTCCCAGAAGACAGTGAAATAGATCAGATTGCTAGAGGACCGGCAATCGTTGCACACGAGAAGGTATAAATAGATGCTAGTCTTGGGTTGGTGTATGTGATATTTGTTTGTTTTGTCGAGCACGCATGTGTATATCATTCGTGTTGTATGAGGGTATGTAGCTTGTACACCTACATACTTGCTTTCATGTGTTTCATGCAGTAGTAGGATCAGGCGTGCGTCCTTTTACGGACACAGAGTTTAACCTACCCGAAAACGGGCCATAGAAATCCTGATTAGAATATATACATATGCAGATATAATACATAGTGTACACAATAGCTGGCATCTCTCGATGATTGTGCGGGCTAGATAATCTTTTTTGAAGAGTTAGCCAAAGCCAAGTCTATAGTGTTGCTGAACATCTAGCGCCTGTGCTGTTGTCTCATAAATGGCAACACGCCATATCAACTAAGTCATATCTCAACGCACTTGTGACATGGAAATTGTTTGGTTGTTGATAACCTTGGTTCAGTATTATGTAGTTGTTCATAGGCACTTTGTGATGTTTCTTCTGTATTGTTATTAATCATCGTGGTTGAGGCATTCAGTATATCGCAACTTGGGAGTAATCTCATCTATATCGTGCTCTCTCATGACTAGATGGACATACTTAATCCGTGCACAGTTTAATGACTAATTATAAATACATATCCCAAGAAGCCTTGAACTTCATACCAACTTCGAAGCAAGCAAAAGTCGTTCGGTTAAAAGCTCAACAGTATCAATACAACATCTCACACAAAATCGATGCAACACTTTTAGAACAACACCATCGATGCGGCATCCCTAAGAATGGTCCGACCAGACTCAAAAACACCCGTCAAGCTTTGGCTCAAGCTAACCAAGCCTGGTACCTTGCCCATGAGATTGAAAACCAAGGGCTACAAAGAAGGCTGGATCTGTGTTGTGTTATGCCTGATTCCTGCACCTATGGACGACGATTCAGGACCGAACCTCTGCGGCGAGGATGAGGTACAAAACACTGTAGTGTACAATTAGCGATGCGAAAAGGAGCGTGTATACGCTTGTACCTTAGCCTTGCGGGTATTTGTTGACGCTTTTATACATGTTTCTGTTTCTGGGTTCTAGAATATAGTTTATAATACCTGCCCGTATCAGTATATTGTTCTAAATGAGTTGAAAATGAATGGATGATCCGTGGTTCGACAAGAGGTTCAGGTGTTAATTTACGAGGAGTCTTGTTAGGTACATTTTTTGTGCACAAGGCAACATTAATTGAACGGGAATGATTGATCGTTACTATCGCCACGAATTTAGGGTTTTAATAAAATCTTAAACCCTTAACCCCTAAAAGAAATTTATTCGAACTGACTGCTTTCTCCACGTGATTTCAAACACAAAGTTTGATGCACATCTATGTGCAGTGATAGTAAAAAAGTATAAAATTAGTGTACATGACTAGACATACTATTTACACTGCATCCGCATATAGCGTCCTGCTGTTGCATCCTGAAAAGGTGTTCCGCATAGCATAAAGAGGTACTGTAATTGCGAATATTTGAAGAATTGGGCTCCTCTATATTCAGTGTAGGCTCTTTCAGTTGGCATTATTTTGACTGTAAGTTTCGTTGCTGACCTGCACTCGCTCACAAAATCTCATTAAAGGGAGATGCGGCTGGATTGGAAGCGCCAGCTGAGATCGATCTGCCCGAGCCATACGATAACATACACGTAGTCCAAGACTTCCCCTGCAGTCTCACCAAACTCAACCGATTGATCTTCGATCACGATTCGGCGCTTGTTGGTAGGTGTTTACCGAGGGATGGGACTGAGCCATAATTGTATACTTTAGAGTCTGAGTTATAGCTGTGAAAGTATTATTGGGATTTATACTTAACCATTTTCGTCAAGCTACTGTTCTTTCTGTACAAGTCCGTAGAACATATGGCAAAACACATATAGGCTTGTCTATCGTACTTTTGTTCCATTGAACGGCACACTAGTTGTGTTGCGTACGGCAGGCCGGATTTGGTTGCATTGCTCTGTGTACCAAATCAGATGTGGTGCAGACTGGTTGGCTCATTTTATCGTAGAACTTCTATAGATACATTGAGAATCGCAGTATATCTGACATCCGTAGCTCATTTCTTTGAAACAGCTGCTCTGCAAACACAGCGCAACTACACGGAAGTCACCCACAGCCCCTGGGCACCCATCGAGGAAGTAAGTATCTCTAGTTGCTGTGCAATGGAGTACATATAATCCGTCACACCATCGTGTCACAAATGCACATAGTTTGGCTTTTCAATTTCATATCATATTCTAGTAGAAATTATAACCAGTCAGTTCTTCTGTGTTTTGGTTTGCATTGGGATGGAATTGAGTAAATCCCAAGAAATTTCACCACACACGGATCGTAGTGATTAGTACCTTCAAAGCTTACGTAATGGAACTGATATATTATGGATTAAAGTGGCTTGTGTGTGTAATCAATAACAATTAGACCTCACTAGATAGATACTCCATGTAAGCAATACTTCCATGACTCGCCGAACCATTGTGTAAATCCGCAAATATGTATTAGATTGTTCCCCAAATCTGGATATCACTTTTAATTCAATCTTTTATACGATACAAAATGTATTGTTCCAGCTTCTCAAATCCAGAGAATATAACTACGTCATTCGCCTAAAATCGGGATAATCGAATTCATGTAAAACGACAATCATATAGCTTATATATATATATATAATATATACTTATATATATATATACACACACACACATATATATATATATATATATATATATATATATATATATATATATATATATATATATATATATATATATATATATATATAATATATATATATAATATAATATATATATATATATATATATATATTATATATATATATATATATATATATATAGGTATTAGTAGTTGT